GATCAGTTATTTATGGTAATAAACCAAGTACTCATTGCAATATGCATGAAACCATAAATCAGACCTTCAGGGCAGGGCTCGAGTCCTGCAGGAACGCATGGGAACGGCGTTCCTGCACTTTTTCCAAAGCAGGAACGCCGTTCCCGCTAGTGATCCTGCAGGACCGGCCCTGCTACCTGCACAGAGGGGCCAGCACACGCTGTGTTCCCTCTCCAGCTATAACTCTCGCGAGACCCGCGGCTGTTACCATGGCAACGCTCCGCACAGGCGAGTCTCGCGAGAGTTAGAGCTGGAGAGGGAACACTGCGTGTGATGGCCCCTCTGTGCAGCGGCTGGCTCCCTCCAGCATACCACCGGACCACCAGGCGATCTCCCCCCTCCCTGACAAGGTAAGAAGCAGGGAGGGGGGATAAATACAAATTATACATAAAGTAAAAAAATGCTACCCCCCCACACACACCCATCATCCAGCACTCACACACCCATCATCCAGCACACACACACACACACATCATCCAGCACTCACACACCCATCATCCAGCACACACACACACCTATCATCCAGCACTCACACACACCTATCATCCAGCACTCACACACCCATCATCCAGCACACACACACCTATCATCCAGCACACACACACCTATCATCCAGCACTCACACACCCATCATCCAGTACTCACACACCCATCATCCAGCACTCACACACCCATCATCCAGCACTCACACACACCCATCATCCAGCACTCACACACACACACACACACATCATCCAGCACTCACACACATCATCCTGCACTCACACACACGTCATCCAGCGCACTCACACACATCATCCAGCGCACTCACACACATCATCCAGCGCACTCACACACATCATCCAGCGCACGCACACACACACACACACCTGTCATCCAGCACTCACACCCATCATCCAGCACTCCACTGCATCACATCCAGTACTCACACACACCCACATCATCGAAAGTACTCTTTTACCCATCATCCAGCACTCACACACACACACACACACCCATCATCCAGCACTCACACACCCATCATACACACAACCACATCATCCAGCACTCACACACCCATCATCCAGCACACACATCATCCAGCACTCACACACCCATCATCCAGCACACACATCATTCAGCACTCACACACCCATCATCCAGCACTCACACACCCATCATCCAGCGCACACACCCATCATCCATCACTCACTCAAACACACATCATCCATCACTCACTCAAACACACATCATCCAGCACTCACAAACACACACATCATCCAGCACTCACACACACACACACATCATCCAGCACTCACACACACACACATCATTCAGCACACACACACACACACACATCATTCAGCACACACACACACATCATCCAGCACTCACACACACGTCATCCAGCGCGCACACACACGTCATCCAGCGCGCACACACACGTCATCCAGCACTCACACACACGTCATCCAGCGCGCAC